CTTCTTGATTGAGGCAACAATGGAATTGATAGGTGTTATGGCGACAGTACAAACAGCGACGCTAGAGAAATATCGAAGGAGAAAAAGTATGAAATTGAGTGGTGTTATGCTAATTTCATCCAAAGTTTACTTTATCCTTTCTATAAGTACTCGAGATTGATTCAAATAATCAATACGTTTAAGTACTCAAACGCATTTCTGACATTGACGTATTCATCCTTGACATTGGGGATGATTACTTTAGATGAAGGGGTTTAACCGAGCCCCAAAGGACTGGAGACATCTGTCTTTACTTTACACTCCCTCCACTAATCAATGGGTCAAAATCCCTAAAGATTAGAAGAATCATATTGTGTCTCAATCTATAGCTTTTGCCTCCGTACCATGTCTCTATTATTGTTCATGACTCTTGAAAGTTCACGGGCTGCTAGTAACGGCCATTCAGCTAAATGTTCAGTCTTGCAAAGTTAATGTTGAAAGTATCAATTACAACTTCAGAGTGTCTTAGATACATATAACAACGCCTTGGCTCTAGAGATAACCTTTAAGCAACTACGAAGTCTTCACTTCTGCCTATGTAATATTTCGCTCCCAGCCACTTTACTCGGTTCCTGAACTCAAACATTACAATTTCCCTCGATCTCTTTAGACTCTAGACTTCATATTTCTCTTCCACAATCCCAATTACCCCCACCTTCCCAAAAGCCACCTCCCTCTCCTTCAAATTAAAGACCCCAAACCAGTTCCTCAGAAACCCACTTCCTAATACAATACGCTTTACATCCCCTTCCATCTCATCTTCCATCTCCATAAACAACGACACACATCTATGACCACCTATATCCGTTCTATCTACTTCCAGAGTATATTCATATGCTGTTAAAGGAAATTCATGGTCCCCGAGGCGTAAAGTAATGACAGGTAATGAATCACGACGGGAACAGGAAATGGAAGGTGGGACATCGTAGCCGCGGAACTCCATTCCGAGATAGGTGTGGAGGGAAGTGACGAGAGATGAAGGGAGACCGATGCCTGGATAGGATGTTTCAAGGATGGCGATATATGGACGGAGGTTGTAGGAGGAGGATGTGCCAGAGATGGTAAGAGATTTGCAAGGGATTTGCCAGCGATCAGTGATGAGATCTGGGAGCATGGTAGAGCGAAATTGCGGAGCAACTGTGTGATTTAGGAGAGGGAGAAGCTTGAGGGGGCCGGTATAGCGTGTATGGTCTATTGTACCGAAGGTGAGGAGACCAGGAGTGTCTGGAGTTTGTGGAAGAAGAAGAGTGAAGACCGGTGTTTGAATGAGTTTCTGGGAACGAAGATTGATGAACGGATTTGGAATTGAGTGTGTAGAGTGCGTGGATGAAGGGGCTAGTCCAAATAGCCCATCCCATTCCAAGTTACCCCAATCTGGATCTGTGAATCGTCCTACACTATCGACAGCGCCGAATTGTTGTGAAATTGTTAGGCCGGCGAAAGTGATGGTATCGGAGACTAGGTTTCCAAATGCAGAACACCTGGCATAGTCCATAGCAAAAAGAGTGCCTATCCATGTTTTCGTGTTTGACAAAGAGGGATCGTAAAGTTGATGAAAATGGCATGTATTCGTACAATCAACTGACGGTAGGAACATGTCATTATCAGAGATGGAAAGGAGAGCTCGTGAGCTCTGCGGTGGGCTTCCAACTTCCAGATCTATGACATATACCAGTTCATTCCAATCCTGTACTTCGATCAGTATTGTCGTTCAAAAATCCGAGTGGGTGATGAACTTACCCATTCAGGCACTCCACTTCCGTATCTTGCCCTTACATCGTCCAAAAATTTGCCTTCCCTCCAAGCCGCAAGATATTCATCATCATTCTCCACACCACCAACTGGACCTTTTAACCTCTTTTGTTCATCTTCATTATGTCTGACCCGCCTTGACACCCTTGCTCTCTCTTTTTTCACTTCACTTTTCTTGTGACTATTGGTTCTGCTCCTCGCAATCCTGTCCTCTCTCGCAGCTGCCCTTTTTGCTTGCGCGTACGTGGAGTTTCTTGCTACAGAGTAAATTGGCGTCGAAAAGATCTCTGCTTGGATCAACGTAGCTGTGCATGCTACGCACACCAGTCCCAAGTCAGAAATCTTCATGATGTTTCTCGATTACCAATCTGATCTCCTGTTGGTTTTTTCTTGTCTATTCTATTATACACTCTTGATTCAACCTTGTATAAGAATTGAGGTAAGAAGCCAGTTTTGGTCTGGGTAATGATGTGTGAATCACTGAGAATCAAAGTGTTACCAGTACCAACGAGTGAATGAATGGATTTCAGGAAATGAAAAGCCGCTGAAAAACAGATGGATCAGATTACAGGAAAGGAAAAGAATCCAAAGATACCAGAATCAAATCCTTTGAGGAATATACAAGGCTATATCAACAGATCTTTCCAACTCGAAGTGATGTTGGTGATTTCCGTTACGGCTGTGCCACCCCTGACGTTGGAACCTACATTTTCCTCTTGATACTCACAGTTCATTTGTAGCCATGCAACCTGGTATGCATCATTGCGACAATGATGTATTTTTAATCTTACTCAGTAGAGTATGTTTTATATTTCCAATGCGAGCGCAAATGTATTGGTTGCAAGCAGATTGAAATTGTTGGTTCTATTCGAATGATACGATCAGAAAGAAATGTTTGGCAAAAGAATTCCGGGAGTTCGGATAAGCGCCAGGGTAATATCCAGGTTTAGATTGGCGCGGTGATATGGGTGATTGGCCTGCATTTAACCGCTCTGATATGCGATGCGACTGCCAGGGGAGGCGAACACGTGCGAGGTGTGCTCACGTGTTCGATATTGTACTGCGCGGTTACTTGTGCTGTAAGACATTGTAAATATTGTGAGATACTGCGGTAAGCAGTTTGTAACTTCGTGAAAACTTTACAAATCTTGTCCCCGATACACAGGCTACAAATTTCACCAAACTGTCTTCACTGGAGTTCACTGAAATTAGCCTAGTTTCCACACCCAGCAAGCCTGTTTCTTCCAGTCCAGCATGAGGTGTTACTGAATTCAGTTATATATGGCATATTTGGAACGCATAAGTTATGATCAAAAATATATCTGCTCGTGCGGGAACCGCAGACTTCGACATCTCTCGTTATAAGGTTTGACCGTTGTACTTACACGTTGGTGTGTAGGGATAGCTCTACCTTTCTAATATATATATATGTTCCTCGCCGTGATATTTAAGTATCACCTATCCACTTCGACCTGACCGCGACTAAATTTTCCAGAAATCCCTTGAATGACAGAAATTGCAAGTGGTGATGATTGAAGCGTTTCCTCGGAACTGCGCTGCTGCAAGTTCTCAAATACTCAAAACCAATAATCACTGAGCTCTGATACCTGGTGCCCAAAGTATATCCGCGTCATAAGTTCCGAAGTGGCCCTTGTGGCTTTGATGGCGTTTTTGAAGTCCTGGGGGATAGCCATGTTTTCCTTGCTGTGGTCGTATTAAGGGATGCTCAATCGTTTTCTGTGTTACCATCTGTCCTTATTTGACAAAAGGGGCAAATGCGGCGTATTATTTTTAACAAAACTTCGTGCAGAGAAAGTACAGAGCATGAGTTACTGCGTTCTACATGTCAATGATCAGAATTCCCGGCAGCTGTCCATGGAGTCTCGATCTAAAATCGTACCTAGAACGACTATATTATCGGAAAAGCTCCTCTTATCAACAATAACACTCGATATCAATACATTCCCAACAATATTGATTCCTTCCGAGAACGGAAGCGGCTTCGAAGAAAAGTTACTAGAAGTACTCTTGGAGACCCACATGCCATCACTTGCTCCAAATATATAGTGAATAATGTCGAAAAATTCTATATCAACAGAGCTTTCTCCCTCTGCTCTACTCTGATGCCCGAACTTCGAGACCACCATTATCTCTGAAAGCGTTTCCACATTGCGAAATCCCTCAACCTGGATCAAATTACCCAATGCGAATATCAAAAATGTCAAACCTTTTTCCTTGCGCCCATGTCTGGTTCCGACAAAGCCAAATCGGAAAACTTCCTCCTCTTTATCTCAGCAGTCGCCCCTCAGAGTCAAAGTTGAAGCATATGGAACACCACTGGGATCAAGTTATTCAACAATATCGCGACATGCCCGACGATAAAGCATTGGATATCATTATGCTTCAAGAGGAGTTGGAAAAGGGTATGTCGAAGGAAAAGAGAAAGGCGGTGCAGGAATATGTCTTCAATGTTGAAGATCCCGAGAGGAGAGCTATGTTGGAGGTTTGGTTGGCGAGGTTTCCGGGATTTATGTTGAGGACCGACAGATTGGTGGATTTTGGGGTTGTGGATACGAGGAAGAAGGCCGGGACTCGAAGTGGTTGGCAATCATGGCTTGAGGAGTGGAAGTTCTGATGATTTGAGCCTGAGATGGGGTGATGGAGAGAAAGTCAATTTTGATGTTGGTTGATGCGAGGTACATAAAGCAGTGTGCTTATTTGCGCTGGCATAATTAAACAGATGTGTTCAGCGATGTGGTTCCAATCTTGGAAAGAGCAAGAAGATGGTGAAAACCAACTACCATGCTGCGAATATAGACATTTTTGTCTACGAGTTATCTTTACAGCGAGACAATATAAGCACAGAGTCCTCTCGAGTCCCTTCTGAGGTTTAGTGCAGCTGATATCAGTGATGTGCAGGGTCTTTCCTACCCACTTAATGACCACCTTGTTCAACCATTTCTATCGATTGTTGCCTTGTAAACTGCAAAATTCTCGCATCTCTCCTCTTCACCCACACCCTCATTCGTGAATTCCGCTACTCACCTCCTTAATTGCCCCGTTGTTCCATTTCATCGGATCTTCATTTGGCTCACCGCTGCGTTGATTGGGTTCACTACTTGAATCTAAAGATAGTCTCTTAGCTTATTTGAATAGGGATTTACATAACACTTGAGTGATTGTCGGAAGAGAGGAAAGAGTAAGCAAACGAATCTGATAGCCTCAGAGATTCTGTATAAGAATCTGCAAGTACCTTGGTCATTGTATCTCTCACAGCTATATACGACCCGTCCTGCTCCGTGGAGTCTGATTTATAGTAATCACAACAACTCCTTTACCTGACAAGCATCACATCAAAGTGATACCAGCATCTAATATCAGAGTTCTACTCTCCATACACAATCCATGACACCTCTTTATTACGAGTCATCATTATATCTTGAATTCTCCAACAGGGCTAGCTATCGAGGAGCAATTTTAAGATTGAGCGGGAGTTTAACCAGCGCAGGCAAGTCAACTAGACTACTAGCCATGTTGTTCTGGACACCATAATTAGTCATTTCATGCAACCACTTGGAAGCACCACACGGCCTCAAGTAAACTTTTGCATCTAAGCCCCCAGAATTCATGCTTTCCATAATCGCCAACCCATCAAAACTGTAGATATGTTCTATTTCCTTAGTTCATGTACAACCACAACAAGTTGTACGCGGCAAATGTTCTACGCCAAGTGAAGCCCTTTTGGAGAAGGATGTCAGACTCCTCGTCAATGATTATTGCCTAAACGAAGCTGGAGAAAATCAGGCAAGATTGGAGGGAAATCTATGAGGACTACGGACATCAATATGTTGGCAGATTTGAATACCTGAGAGACAGAGAGCGATTGGGTTGAGTTATTTGACGAAGTGAAGGGCTTTCGGTTCTGGGGGTTGAATAGATCAGTCGACCAGTTGGATGTGGATTTAACCCCATTGGCACCGTAAGGGAAGAAGGAAAACATTGAAGCAGTTTGGTAAGAGCGGCAAGGAGACGAGTAGTAGTAGTAACTAATCTGCCGGCCAGATATCTTCGTTATCAATTAGGTGCGGGCAACAAAGCGGGGATTACTCGCCTGAAGACCACATACTTTCAAATAGCTAACAACAATAGCTTCAGATACCCAATGCCACCCACCAATGAACGACAAACGACCAAAATTTAAGGAATGACGCGAGTGAGAAAGCGGCCCAAGCACATGCTGAGCGTGTCGTCTACAACTACTTTTTATTGAATATGCCCTAGACTCCTTCCCGTCAACGCCTATCCATACATCACATGGGTATTGCCAATCTGAAACACAACATAGATCTTGCTTTGCTAACCACAAATAATACGCATTCCACAAGAAATTATCAGAGCATATCCGTGTTCGGAACCCAAAACAGAACTTCCTGATCTGCTGTAGCAAAATGGTTATACTTGGGGTTAAAAGCAACAATGGCCGTTTCGCCGGGGTAGTCCAATTCATGCAAAGGACTAAGGACCCGATTTGTTGTAGCCGCAAGTGTATCCCATACCAAGACATTCTTTCCGCGAGATCCACTGATTACAAATCTTCCATCAGGAGTAAAACAGCAATCTCCGGCAGTGGTGTGGAGGTATTCACTTGATGAAGGATCCAAATTGTCTGGGTTGTGGTCGCCTGCTCCTAGTCTTCTGGCGCCACCTCTATCCCTCCTCAAGAATGCCTTCAGATGCCCGTCAAACGCATCTAATAAGAAGTGGCCATTGCCAGTCGTGCCGAGTAACAAGTGCTTCCCATCATTTGAAAACGCCAATTTGTTCCATCCTCTTCCAATTGCTTGAGGGGAAAACTCTTGACAGTATGGTAATATGTCAAAAGTAGCAAACGGTTCCTTGTCAAAGTTGCGGAAGTCGTAAAGTAAAATGGTTTGAGCTAGTGGAGAAGCAGCTGCAAAGACGTTTCCGGAAGGATCCCATGCAACGAGGTGGACACCGGTAAGATTCAGAATACCAGAAGGATTGTTGGAAGCTGCATCCCAAATCCTAAGAGTGTTGTCTTCAGAGCATGAAATGAAATTGTCCTGGCCGGGATGAAGGGATAGACATGTGACGTTTTGCTCATGTCCTTCAAAGTAACGGATGTAAGAATTATCATGAGCCGAGAGATAACGTATTTTGTCTATATTCTACTCAGCACTATAGCATAGAAATATGGTGTGTGACTTACGGTCTTTTTTGGTACTAGAATGGATTATACAATGTTCAGCATGGCCAAACATTGCATGGTTACAGCCATACTTGGCACTAATGTTCATTTTTGAATGTCTTCCCTCAAGAACATCATATATCTGCATAGTGTTATCAGTTTCTGATGTGATAAGCTGACTGCCATTGTCATTGAAATTGATAGACTGAATAAAGTTGTAACTTGGGGGAGTTTGCCCTTTGTCTGCAGGTGTTGGAGGATGTTTGAAAAGCTTGATTCATTAGTAATTGCTCATCCTCTGTGGTAACTAAGCTTACCTTGACTGGATTGTATAAGGAGATCATCTCCGTAAGTTTGCCAGTTTGTGGGACTGATGAGACTCCGTTTGCTTTCGACATGGAAGTACCATTCGCTCCTAATGGAGAGTCTATTGCCATAGGTGTTGATGACATGTTTTTTTGTTGTGATGTTTTACACTTTTCGAGATTCTGTGTAAACCTTTAAAGAAAGATTTGAAAAGTCTAGGACCATAGAGTGACGAAGAGTAACCCCTGGTCTTGATTCCTTGTCCTTGACCTTTATTTTGTCAGAATATCAGAATACCAATGAGCAGAAAGACTAAACCATAATTCAATTTGATATCACCACGTGATCCGGATGGTACCTCTTATCGGGTCCGCCCCACCATCTCCGTGCTGCTCCGAGGAGCAACTTTAATTTGTAGTGCACAAGGATCTGCAGCAAGCTACAGCTCCGACCCTCGGCCAGGCCAGTCTGCTTCAACGCAATAAAAATTATTAGTTTATACAGATTGATTTTATTTTGTATAACAACACAGTCAGCTCCCATTACAAACACTCATATCAATCTCCACTCCTTGAACATTTTCCGTCCTCTTTTAAGTTCTGCAAATATCTCGAAATACTCTTGTCTGGCTTCTTGACGTGTTCGAATTGGCGAAGTGATAGCGAGCTCAATCTGTGAAAAGAGTAGGAGCGGGGAACATAGAATATGTCTACAACATTAGGGTGTGTTTCCAAGATTATTTCCTGCTATATTATATTCTGACGTAGAAAACATAGGGCCTTTGTCGCCGGCGGCATTGCAGCATGCGGAGCTGTAACTGCAACTCACCCTTTCGAAACAGTAAAGATCCGGTAAGAACACCATTGTCTGGTTAGAGCACACCCTAATACAAAATTACTAATGGTGCAACCACAGCATGCAATTGCAAGGCGAACTCCAAGAGAAAGGACTTCAACCAAGACTATATAAAGGGCCTATCCACGGTGTTACAACTATTGTACGGAATGAGGGTTTTGGGGGTATATATCGAGGAATCGGCGCTGCATACATTTACCAGATGATCCTAAATGGATGTAGGTTGGGATTTTACGAACCTATACGAGAGACTCTTACTGGCGCAATATTCGATGATTCAAAAACACAAAGTTTGGGAGTAAACATCTTTTCGGGCGCAACGTCAGGAGTTCTGGGTGCTGCGGCGGGAAGTCCTTTCTTCCTGGTTAAGACAAGATTGCAAAGTTTCTCACCACAAGCACCAGTAGGCACACAACATGGTTACAAAAATGCCATGGATGGAATGAGAAAGATTTATACAACAGAGGGAGTAAATGGACTTTACAGAGGAGTAGGGGCTGCCATGGTCCGGACAGGTTTTGGAAGTTCTGTTCAGCTACCAACATATTTCTTTGCAAAGCGGAGACTTGTGAAGCACTTGGGAATGGAGGAGGGGCCAGCATTGCACCTTGCAAGTAGTACAGCTAGTGGTTTTGTGGTTTGTTGTGTCATGCACCCACCAGGTAAGCAGTTTTTGTTTTTGTAAATATTCTTTATGCTAATTCTCTCAGATACTATCATGTCGCGTATGTACAATCAAACCGGAAATCTGTATTCGGGTATTTTTGATTGCCTAGCAAAGACCGTCAAGACTGAAGGTATCTTCGCTATCTACAAGGGTTTCTTGCCACATCTTGCGAGAATTTTACCTCACACCATTTTGACCCTCAGTTTGGCGGAGCAAACCAACAAGCTTATGCGAAAATTCGAAAACCGAATCCTTCCTGCTTCGATAAAAGAGCAGGTATAGACTAGTTAATTCAGAGCTCAGATTGGTTGGCAGGTCCGGCCGCGCCGAGTTGTATAACCTCGTTCAGCTTGTATAGTGTATGTCCCTCATGGGCAACCAGAAAAAATAATTGGTGTTTATATACGGGGCATTTGGGGTGTTATAAAAAGATGATAGATTATTGTTGAGCATTTTCATCCGTTGATAGATCTTGAGCATCCATAGCATAGAACAGTGTTTGAACTGATATCTTCCCTTACTGGCCTTGAATCTGGATTTTGATCCCCGCCCCAACCGTAAATACCATCAGTACCCTCTGCGACAGGGAGTCCGCAGATTCCACAGCCCTTCGATACGTGGTCAGTAGAAGGTTTCAATTTGCTCGATGTCCTAACAACATTGGCAACTATACTAGGGAAATTCTCCTCGACAGATTCGAAATATTGTGCCATTAAATCGTCAATCGTTGTCGACTTGGAGGAAGCAGATATATGAGAAGGTGGCTCCTGGTACACGACTAGCTCCGGGAGAGGTGTCGTTGAAGAGGAAAATGTCATGATTTCTTTTTTAAGGATATCTCGTAAGGGATAATTGAAGCCCAATCCATATGGTGATGGCCCATCGGAGACTTGCCATGGCAGAGAGAATCCACGCCCCTTGGCTGTTTCAGTGAGCGTCTTTTCTGCTAGTCGTGTAGTAGTATCACCGAACAAGATGCTCTCGCAATCATTTCTTTTGGCGACATCCACTAGGAGTCTATTTAAGAGCGTAGATACAATATCGGCCCTGGAAGTTGCAGATGACATTGTAGAGACAATATTCTGCAGATCCAAACTTGAGGCTTTGGTACCCTGAGTAGGAACGTCTGTAATTCCCAAAGATGCCCAATCAATACCTTCCAGTTGTAATGCTTCCTGAAGTCCATAACTTGAATAAGAATGCCTGGGGTATTGGTCCTTGTATTTTTGCAATAAAACAGCAGAGGCTTCTCTGTCCGCATCATCCAGGTAAAGATCGATATGTACAACGAATAGTTCATATGAAACTCGGTTCATCCGCTCTTGTTGGGTTTGAAGGTGGCCATCTAATATATGGAGCAGGCATGACGACGAAGGTCCAAAGGAAAGTGGTAATAATAATTTTTGTGGAACTTTCGAAGATCGTTTGCCTTTATACGTTTCCATGCGCTTTACTGCCTTTGTTTTAACATACTGTGAGAAGCATTTTCTGGTAGAGAACAGTTTATTAGTAAAAGCTATATAAGGATGCTGAGATGCATGACGAACTGGCAAACTGATTCTGATCGAATTTGAAGTGTAGCATTAGACTCCATACATCTCTTGCAGAGCATATTTGGTTGTTCCGCAGAAGGATGCACTGCCTCAGGATTTGCCATCGCCATCGCCATTTTATTCAAATAAGTCAGATAATTGGATGTTTCAGGTACAAGAAATGTTTCAATATCCTTAATTATTTTGTGTACTCGTAGATTCAAGACTTTTAATGAGGCGAGGCTGGAGCAAAATGTCAATCGCCCGAGCATAAATCTAACCACATAGAGTTAGCTTGATCTGTGCCTTACGTTTCCCTAACCCGCAATGAAGCTCTGGCTCTGTCAGCTAAGAGAGATCCCTGCCTGGGGGTTTGGTGTTGCCAGAAATCAAACAAGTCTAACAAGTCAAAACTTCATTCAACGACAAACTTTTCATATTATTTTGTGAATGTTCGAAAAGCTGGTCTGGATGTGCATTTGAATGTCAAGGAGAACGACAATATCATTCACCTTTGCAAATCTCGAGGTCTTGTTTCCTAGATACTAACGTAACATAACTTTCAATTCGAGCCCGCGAGGCTACAGCAAACATGCGAGGTTGGCTTCATGGGTTCCTCGCATTGGGGATTTCGGCCCTGACAGTTGGTGCGTTGGAGGTCAGAATGGTACGTCGGCAGAGGTGGAGATGAGGTGCTTGTTTTGACGGTGATAGCAGGACGAATCTAATGACAATCGACAAGTATGCGCCGGAATGTATGATCGGAAGACTTGGGGAGGCCCGACTGAACCACATATATTGGTGAAATGGCTTCCAACTACACAAGACTCAGAGGATCCCGATCCAATTGCAAGCATGGTCATCTTTGAGTGGAGGGATTATGACCTGGTTGGTGTATTGCCAACCATTGACAGTATACAGGTACGATTCAACTGATTCAACTTTCACTTCCACCATCCGCTGATACCTGGGTTTAGAAAGAATTCATCTGCGATCCAGAGAATATCAGCAATGGTTTCTGTAATAGCAACCAAACTGGTCAATTCCTCCTTGCGCCAAACGCAACAGAAAAGTCGATCAGTCAAATTTACACTGGAGCCGTTCATCTCAACAGCACCGGCCCACCAATAAATTATCCTATCAAAAAGACTGGCTACTACTGTGTTGGTACAACGGGCTATTCTCCTTCAAACGTTAAATATACTGCGGTTGTGGAATTCCGAAATGCCTATGGGGAGCTTCCAGCAGCACAAATACCAAAACTGCCATTTTACGGTATTATCACAATTGTGTACGCTGTCATGGGAATGTAGGTCAAGCTGTTCCCCTATTTATTTTTGCCGAAGCTAATTATTGATGAACAGTCTTTGGGCATTTCTCTATGTGCAGCATCGAGAAGATATTCGTCAGTATCCTCAGTCGAGTCTTTCATATCTGGACTAACATTTCAACAGTGCCCGTACAGAACTACATTACAGCAATCATTGTCTTTTTGATAGTCGAAATGCTGATGACTTGGGGCTTCTATGGTAAGTCGATTTTGCATTTCTTTCCGGACAACGCTAACCTATGTAGACTATCTCAATCGATCTGGAAGCAATATTGGCTCAAAAGCAATGATGATCATCGTTGCTGTACTTAATGCAGGCCGTAATTCATTTTCGTTCTTCTTGCTACTTATTGTCTGCATGGGTTATGGTGTCGTCAAGCCTAGTTTAGGCAAGACTATGGTTTATGTTCGCTATCTCGCTGGAGCTCATTTCGTCTTTGGCTTGATTTATTCAATTGCGAGCTTGACAATTACTCCCGAGCACGCTGGTAAGACCTTCTCTTATTACGAAAAACTTACATACTAACTTATGGTTAGGTCCACTAGTACTGTTTGTTATTCTCCCCCTTGCCGGAACTCTTACAGCATTTTACGTCTGGACTCTCAATTCCCTCAACTTGACCATGAAGGATTTGAATGACCGCAAGCAAACAACGAAAGCAGGCATGTATCGCAAGCTATGGTGGTGTATTCTGCTCTCGATTATTGTCATATTCGGCTTCTTTTTCTTCAACTCGTTTACTTTCGCCTCGGCTTCAGATCCTGACTTTGTTCCTTTCCACTGGAAATCCAGATGGTTCATTCTTGACGGCTGGCTTAATATTGTCTATTTGATGGACGTCGGATTTGTTGCCTGGGTATGGAGGCCAAGCGCAAACAACAGAAGGTTCGCTATGAGTGACGAGTTAGCGCAAGACGATGAGGGATTTGAGATTGCCGATTTTGGCGCTGAAGATGACGACGAAGATGATATCGAGAACTCCGCAGCTCGCAGAGGTGATCGAACACAACCCGGCCAAGAGGGAGCAAGATATGATCCTCCTCCAGGAGCTAACACCGCAAAGGAGATTCCAAGAGAAAGTCTTGATGGAGAAACAATTTTTGCAGTTGGAGAGGATGGCGACCGCTGGTCAGATGATGATGATGACGATTCGGAGGCAGGAAAGAAACTTGTGAGTGGAAAGGGGACAAAAGATGCACACAATGATTCGGACTCGGATTAAGCGAGACTTTTACCATGTATCATAATGGGTCGGCGTTGGGTATTATTGAGAAAGAAGGAAATGGCATTTACAATTGTAAGCTCGGGGGATTTGTCATAGCATTTGTACTGATGTATTATTGTAGCAAAGCATTTATCTATAGAATTTATACTATGGACTATATTTATATGTACCAATCTCCAAATCACTTGATAAATGGTTGATTGTCATTGATGAATGCCGCTCCTGCAAATCCATTTCTTCATTCTCAATACCCCTGTTTTGATATGGATAGTCGCGGCGTCTTCATCTCAAATGCCAATACACTTACATAACATCACCCTTTCAGACCTCAATCTCATTGATTCCCCTTGTATAAGTATAAACTGGCAAAGGCCCCGCTCTCTTAATCATGCCCTTCGACATCTTATCCCCATCAATAATACTCCTACCAAGCCCTACTGTACTATTTTTCACCCGATTCTCAAATTCTTTCCCATTACCCTTTACAGAATTGTGCATGCGTGGACTGGTTTCAATGAAATGCGCAAGGGCTGCTCCTTGCGCAATACCCATATCGCTGGTTAGACGGCGCAGTGCCTCACAGGCGAAGGTGCGGTCCTCGGGTGAAGTAACACGAGATACGGCTGCGATATAGAGTGGCCAGACGAGGAAATAGGCGCCGGCTGCAGGAAAAGAGAAAGAGGGGGGCGTGAGGCCAGTCTCAGCTGGAATAGAGGGAGTACCAGGGACGAAGGCTTCTTGGTAAAGAGTGGAGAGGAGATTGTTGATTGTATTGGGAGTTGAAGGTGGGAGGTTATTGAGAGGTGATGGGGTGCGGGATGGAGGTGTAGGGTGACCGGGAGATGAAGTCCAAGTTGACGGTTTGCGACTTACATAGCCCAGACACTGGGGTACTGAGCGTAAAATTCCATCGCGCATGTGAATTAGCGTATCAGTGCTCAACTGATATTGAGCCATGTAGCTCAAAGACGTAAAACGTGGGGGTATGGCATCAAAACCTTCAAGAATATGTTGTCTAATCACCTCATTGAGCATGACTCGAGAATTTCGCATCGAGTTCCATATTTGCGCTATCCAATAGTCGTAATATATGTCGTAAGAACCCTTGAAGACGATTTCTGGAGCTTCATTCTCACCAGCTTGCACAGTCTCAACTTCCCAGCCGGGTGGTACATTAGCAAATATTTGTTGTAACTCTTCGTCGAGAGCGAGAGCGGCGGCAATGATTTGTTCACTATCGCCTAATTTGCCGGTTCGGAGATCGGATCTGAAGTACGTGAATTTGTCTAGGATAGCCAGCATTCTGAAAGCGGGATCCCGGAGGTCAAGCTGCTTATAAACTGCGGCTCGTAGCGCCATAATCTCTTGTGGCATCGGAATTTCTCGCTGTAGCGCGCTTATGAGGAGATGAGCTGTTATCTGCATGAACAGACCAACCCCCACTCGTGTTTTGAACTGTGAAGGGCCTCGAAGCTTGATCAGCGTCGAGGCTCCATTGATGTGTTCCGTCCATGCTTTTAAAGACAAACGGTTGGTAGATGTTACTGTCTCGAATACGGCTAATACCATGATAGATAGTAATGTACTATCTTTGACAGCATCTATGGGAGATCTAAGTGCACCATTGACACGCCTGAGCGCAATCATATATTCATAACGAGCTTCACCTAGTAACTGAGGTGATTTGGTTCTGTTAGCAAGACCAGCAAGACCGACAGCCGTCATGCTTGTAGATAATGCTTCATCCAGACCACCATTGCGGCAAAGGTCCTTTAGATAATTAAAATGTCCGTGTGATGGTCCGGATACTCCAGCCACAAAGTTGGTGATAAAGTACGAGGTACCCTGTTCCACGATTGATGGAGCTATTGCGGCCCTTGGCCGTGGAGCCGTTAGGATTTCGTTCAACTCAAATTCGTCGTCAGGTTCATAGTTTGATGAGGATGTTGAATTGCTTTGACTTGAAAGTCTCCGTTCGCTCGACGAGGATGCTCTGCTTGTTGCTTTTGATCTAGTGGCACTGAGTGGTCTGGGTGACCTCTGCTCTTTTTCGCTTGCTTTAAGTTTTCTAGCCCTTTCCTTGGCCTTGGCTTTCTCAATGACAGCGGAACTTTCATTTCGGAAAGCCAAATCAAGCATATTTCGATAACCTGGACACGGTTTACTGGCTTTCGCACAATTCGTGCAGGTTGGTTGTTCCTGCCCACACTACACGAGACATATGATTAGTCATCTCGCACTCCTTTCCTCGTTTGAGCGAGGTTGCAACCCAAATAGGGTGTGCAGTCTCAGTGATGTTGAGCCTCTTTGCATTAGTAGCCTGGGCATTACCAACCGTTGCAGAACGTATTAAAGGTCGGGGGGTTTCCACGTACACGAATCTTTCTCTCTCTACAATTTGCACACCCTTTCGAAGGCTTTCCACAATAAACCATGATGAGCGACGACTAAGAAATTCTTTCCACAAACACGATTGAAGATTGACAAAATTTGTCAATAGGTGGGAGAATAGAAAGCTTTTTGTACAATTCTTACCACGGTCATTCAAACTGGATATTCCGACGTTCTTGCTTGGAGTGAAATTGCAAGTACATCAGCCCTAAGGAAACGCTTCTAGCGCCAGAACAATTTTGAAGCTTCGGATGACGATAACGCAGATACAACTAACTGCGCCGCAGCTTGATTTACTCAAGTCAGCTCAGGCACGCTACTTCAACGGTTTTGAACAGGCTTCTGTTCCTATTGAACAATGTTGACGCCTGTCAAAAGGTCCGCATGTGATGGCGGTCAGGGCAGAATCGCTGAGAAGGCAAGATTTGCGCTCCTAAAAAGGAATATCTTCGCTGCAAAAATTACGAAATGTGAGAGTCCTCGCATTGCATTCCTAATTTGGCTTGAGTGATACTTCTGCATGGACCGCGTGGCACCTCCCAGGATTACGGGCCTGGGCCACTCTTGTAAGCTCGCTTCTGTCGTCTGTAGCTAGCGAGGCTAGGGGAACAGAAGCTTAAATCATTTGACGGTACCGAAAAATACTGAATATCGATGAGAACCGCGGTTGTTAGATCTTGATTATCTCCGAGTAATTGCCTGTCTCGATGATCATTGGTCTGGTTTACGACTGTTGCCTTTTCAACAATGGGTTTGCTGTCTTGAAATTTCGGGCTTAAAAAGCCCCGACTTACTAACACCAAAATTAGCATACAGGTCAAAAATTAACAATTTTTTTGACCATTATTTCTACAGCGATATCACACGGAGATCGCTGAGATAAATCTTATATTGAATCCATCCAATACGGTTAATGCCACTATGGAATTAATGCAGTGGCCATTGAGTGCAATGGCACAAAACCTTTCGCGATACCATTGACAAGAGTTCGGAATTCCGTACATGGAGAGATGCACCTCGGAGCTCATTCAACTAGCGACAATATTGTCTGCCTATTCGTCACATGAAAGAGGCCCAAAGGATCACTCCATCTGATGTTAACTGGTGATGGTGCTTACTTGGGATGACTTCAATATTCTTACAACCGTTAAGGCCGGATATCGATGTGGGCAGAGATATACTCCAAGGCAATATGATATCGGATGATTCATCCCGAAATGAAACAGCTCAAAAACCATTTTAAATCTCCACACGACGACGAATGTATGCAAGATTCATAATCTATAGCTGCATAGACTCCAAAAGGTGGTTTATATCTTACTTCTATTTTGGCGGGGGTGTCTCCAGACACTCGTGCCATATGCATTTTGTTACCCAAATTACTAGTCACTTCTTTCAAAGCCACTACAGCTCTTTAGGTCGTTTAGTTCCTCTCTTCCTTCCCCAAAAGTTCTATCATATTTTGCACACATTACCATCTCTCAAGAATGATCCCTTGAAAAGGCTCGCGATTCTAAAAATCAACTATTTGCTTGCTGAGATGATCCATTAATTCCATCATGATATATTTCTGGCTCTTGTTCTCTGACTACAGGTTTTTTTGCCAATTGGTTTGGAAATTGGATGTCCTCCCTCCTACTTTTTTTGTTCACCACAAGTTCTTGAATACTACGTCGCAGTGCGATTACGGCTTCCTTTTTCCTGGAGTCATCTCGTCGAAATTGACCTAGACAGCCAAATAACCTCTTGATGGCAAGACGAGAGGTTGGCATTTTTACATGGCAACAACGCTGGGCGTATCTGCACATTTCAATATCTTCTTCTAGGCTTACAAGACTTCTGTTGGATAGCACTAAGCTGAGCGAATTCTGTTTCAGTCTCAAAATATTCCCGACTGCGGATACACTTATTAGTTGAGATAGAAAATTGGTATCTGCACCAAAAGATCCACAATCAAAACCTTCGGGCAACACGCCGCATATGCAGAAAGCCATGCCCTTGCCGATATATCGATTCGTGTGGCTTATTGGTAAAGCTTCAGATTAAACCTTTCTGCTTGCCATAAGGATTGTATGCCAAAGATTGGACTGTGTGTTAATAAACTCACTCTACAGAGCAAATCTGAGGCACAAACAAATTTAATACTCTCAATGTTTTGCAAATGAACATAGAAATAGGTCATTACATATTTTTCTTCGATTTGTGTGATGATAAAAAGTTTCGTGGGCCAATTTTATGGCCGGTGGTGATAGGCTTGACGTCTCATTCCGGTTCGTGGTCCATTTTACAGAGAAAAAATGATCTACTAATCTAAAATCAAGGGGAGAGGGAACCTTCCTCGCTATTTTTTTGGACATATGGAATTTACATATACATTCTAAGCCGAAAGTACGTCAGTGAATGGCATGCAAGCTAGTAAATTGTAATCGCTGAAAAGTATTGTCTAGGCCTCTTTCTGCACAACCATAATATAAGGCCCACGAAAACCGCGTTTAGACGGCCTCGAAGGTAAGAATGGGTATACAGATTGGTCGAGTAATATTCTCGCTTCTATCTCACCCCTATCATTCATTCTTCAGTCGGCCAAAGCTCATCCTCCTGCTTGCATAGAGAATCAATTACGAAACCCGACATTCTCCCTTTTTTCCGCACATGTACATAGCCACTGACGACAAACTCAGTGCATTCCCAATCTGACATAGCACGAAGTTGATCTGCAAACCCATCTGTATGGTAGTTAGCCGAAAGCTTAATCATCGGAGGCTGAGCTTACTCTCACATCAGCCACGTTTTCAACTACATGCATGCCTAATTAGGATTAGTTTTCAGCCTTGCCACCGGTCGGCTCTAAGTTGCACTCTTCTCAATCAAGGAATTACTAAGTTGGTGGTGGAACTCTTATTTTTCGGATGTTTGATGAGTATCAAAGTCTGGGATAACCCAGATCAATTAAGAAGAAATGTAGAGGATGGAAGAGTATATATATTGTTGGGAACTTCTTGTTAATATTTTATTTGTTCATTCCCTCCATATTGATCAATTAGCTGCAGTTCAAGCTTCTCGAGTCTTCACTGTAAACCAAGAGTTTACAACAGAGTTATCTTTTTTCTACTCGCTGCTCCAAAAACTCTAGTCGAGAGTCATATACTTCTTTTCTTAAGCTAGCATTTCGTCGACCCAAAAGACAAACCATGACCATTACCTATCGCAACGGTGTTGAAATTGGAGAACTAATTGTCTATGTCCCTTCTCTCCTCCTCTCCGTCTTCCTTGCTTTCCGCCATGGATTTGGCCGCAGTGCAGGCTGGTACTTCCTCATAATCTTCTGCCTCGCTCGCATCATTGGTCCCTGCATGTCTCTCGCCGCCATATCTTCTCCCTCAGTATCTCTCTACACCGGCGCACTCATTCTGCAAAGCATCGGCTTATCGCCTTTGCTGCTCACTACCCTGGGACTCTTAAGTCGTGTTCTAGACAGCATCAATCGAAATACCCATACACTCATCCAACCTCGCATGCTGAAACTCATCGAGATACTCACATTGGTCGGGCTGATACTTGGTATTGTGGGTGGACTTAAAGCAAGCGATGCATACACTTCCACTGGGAAATGGGTGCCGGGAACAGAAAGCAAAGTTTCTAACATCTTGTTTATTGTCTCATTTGTGGCAATCATAGCCACCACAATCCTCACCAGTTTCCCGATCTCACATGCGGAAAAGGGAGAGAAGAGGATTTTGTTGGGGATTGCCATTGCGTTGCCATTCCTGTTTGTTCGACTCTTGTACTCGGTTCTCTCGACTTTCGTGTCACACTCTACGAAGTTCAACGCTCTCAATGGAAGCGTCACGGTCTTATTATGTATGGACCTGCTTGAGGAATTGGCTATTGTGGTTGTCTATTTGGCAATTGGAGTCACGTTGAAAGTTAAATCTAAAGACGTGGTTACAGAGGTAGAGATACAACGGGCTTCAGGGACTTCAGATAGTGATGAGCCACTTCGACAAAATCAGCAGAGACAAACACAGCAACAGCATCAAAAAGCAGGAGCAGAAAATGTGATGTTGAGGATTGCGAAGAAGACAATTATCGGGAGGTTGGTAATGGCATTCATACCGGAAAAGAAAGCAGATGTGGAGATGCAGCAATATGTTCAAAAGTAAAGAGGTGTGAGTTAGGAGGGGTCTGAGGAAGCTGTTTGAGTCTGCTCATTTTATTATGTGTTTTTGGCGTTGGTGTTGGAAAAGATGGTTTGGTTTGATGCTATCGGTCTCCGAAACAGTTAAAGATTTCTTCTTATATACCTCGTTTCTCTCTCTATAGACTGGATATGTTATAGTATATTTCAATGAGCTTTTTAAATCCTTGACATGTGTGAGTGGCTACTCAGGTTGCATACCAAGATGAATGTGTGATATTGAGTAGTCCAACAAGACCAGCATAGCAATCATCAAAACGCAAGTCCTGACCATTTTCACATAATTTTGTTGATCATTCTCCTGAATTTCAAATCTCAAAACACCTAATTTCACACATCAAAACAAAGGTTTAACACTGACATGGAGGAATGGTATTCCAAAATGTACTGACCAGTATATTTCACGTTTTACTCTCATTCATTTGTCCATTAATTAATTTATTAATTATCACTACTGGGTATCTAACGTGACCAAGAAAGGTCCTCTACACGGAGGAAAATCCTAGAGTGCATGCATGAAACACATCTTTCGAATATGAGTCAACGAATCCCATGAAAACCCAACTCCCCCATTCACCGTTCACCAATTACCCATAACCCAAACCATTTCACAAAGGCAAGAACCCACCACCCAACAACCCCAACAACACATCTCCCTCTTCCCTCCTCATCTCCTCAACCCCCTTCTCCACACTCTCCACCTTCCTAGCAATCTCATCCACCCTCTCCTCCTCCTCCTTCTCCTTCGATTTCTTCGCAATCCTCTTCTTATGAAAATATCGCGAACTAGTGCGGACACGCGTCCCATCCATCTTATATCCCCGACTCGTCTCCTTGCTATCCATGCTATATCGATACTCTCCTGTATCGAGATCGATCTCAGTGCGACGTTTGGCTTTCATGTTGAGGGAGATGCGGTCGCGGACGAAGGTGTATTGACGGTAGCCTTCGATTTCGGGGGGAGGTGGTGGCCAGGTTTGCTTGGAGGATGAGGCGGCGGTGGGTGGGAAGAGGAGATACTCTGGGGTGTGGGGACGGAGATGGGGTGGTGGGGGTGAAGGACGGGTTGGGGTGGGATGAAAGAGGCTGTGTGGGGGTTGAGCAGGATAGGAGATAGAGGCCTGGGAGACAGAGATTGGATTCTCTGTGTACGCATTGTCGTCATTGTCGTAATCTTTCGTGGGGTCGAAGTAGATGAATTCGATGGAGAAGTTTGGGGAGGCGCTCGAGTAGGATAATTTTTGCTGCGGTGGTAATTCTGGAATGTAATGTGCTAGAACGCCGATATCTAAATTTAAATTTTTAGTGGGTAGTCTAGAGTAATTGGTTAGATCTTAATACTTGATGCAGAATCTGATGCTCCATCTACTTGAGCGGAAACTGGAGCTTTAGGAAGGAATGGTTTTTTTGTGCTATTCTTCTTGGCATTGTGAACCGAGAGGAAGTTTTGGGCTCTAGTGCTGAAGATTGTACCGGGTAGTGGGTTTTCGGGAATCAACATTCCAGATTGAGGACTGGCCCCATCTGAAAAGGTAGTTCTGCCATTCATGGTTTTGGGTGAAGGCAGAATTGGTGTGTGGGTGGAGCTAGAGATAGATCTGGTGATTCTTCTGGAACTCATTGGCAGAGGATTGTTTAGAGCGAAGTTCATGTCTTGATCTGTAAAGTCTTGTGAACTTAATGCTGAGGATGGTTATGTCCATTACAAACCAGATTCAGGTTGAAACGTACGTATAAACCCCATATCGTCACGAATGACGAAAGGATTGTTACTCAACTGACCTGGTGCTACAGCAGAAGTATCAGACGAAGGACTTTGCTGCATAGAAGCGTTTGGTGTAGCAAGTTGGGTTCTATGGCCAGTTGTCGACATGCTTGTTGAGGTATTTGCAGCAACTATTGTCGAGCTCGATTCAGTTTGTTGATCTCTCTGATTATCAGGTAGTGCTGATAAAGAGTGGTGGATATTCGAGGTTATGCGAGCAAGCTCTGTTTCCTCTTCTTCTTTGCGTAGGCGAAAGAGTTGTTGTCCCTCAGACGATATGGCTGGATGAAAGGGAGGACTTGTAGGATCATATGTATTGCCAGTTGAGCTTGCGATCTGTCTATCTTGGTAGCCTTCTTCATTTAATGGCTGTAGAAGGGGTTTGTTTGTGGAAGGAAGAGGGGAATATTCAGAATAATTTCCAGGAGACGACATCTTGGAAGTTCGATGTCCCCAAGGGGCGTGTTGACGAGTTGAGTCTGAGAACGTAGTTTGGCCGAACCGATTTGTTTCCAAGGTAACGGAGGGATATGATTGATGATACACATGGGCATGAAGAGGATTTCCCATTGATGTATTACAATCTGTCGATTCACTCTTCCAATTTGGAGTGTAATTAGAATGGGAAATTGGTCGCTGTACTGGGACTCTTGATTCACCAACAATATTTGAAGAGACATTAGCACGGGACATTATATCCCGTGCTGGTTCTCCTCTTTCCGGGACATACGGTATAGAGTTTGTAGAGGCTTGGATTGAATATGGGCTTGCATATTGATGTTCTTGAGTTTTTTGATGCAATGGCCATGGAATATAAATACCACCACTAGAGGTGTGTGGTGGACCTCCAGGAGCTGGGGTGGTAAATGTAGATGTGCGGTTATTAGTTTGCTGACCAGATTGTGCAAATCGTAATGAGACTGACTGTGCATCGGGAGATTGGAAGTGATTACTAGCAGGCTTGTTGTTATTGTCATTTTGAACTGATGAGATACTAGCACGTCGAGGAGTTGGTGATATCGAAACACCCCTTGTCATCCAAGGCTTCTGAGGAGATCCAGCAAAAGCATTTGACGTAGCATTGATGGAAATCACTTTCTCTGCAGACGTCCATTGTAAGGGCTTTTCTTTCGGTGTTCTTGTAGGATGTTGACTGGCCCTGTATTTAACTTCACTGATCCCACATGCCGCAATATTCCTGACGGCTGAAAATGGTTCCATTCTAGGTGCTTGGCTGAAATCTGGTTCTGCAAATACCTGCGCCCAGAGTAGTCTCCCAGCTTCTTCAAGCCCTTCAACATAGCCAGCCTTCTCATATGCTCTCAACAATTCATAGATTCTTTGACCATTTGGAGAGGTGTCGTTGAGGTTCTTTCGAGGCTCAAGTGGAAGTGCATCGATAGCCCGTAATTCATTGACTGATTTGGCTTTGTTAGTTCTTGATTTTTAAATGATAATGAATGGTGCAGAACTAAGAAATGTGAAAAAAGGAACATACCTGTTGGTGGCCGATGAAATTTATCTCTAACAGCTTTTATATGACGATCCCGAAGAAGACGCGGTACTTCATCTCCATCTCCAGGCATTTGCGCAACGTTAATGCAAGCTATTTGTTTGCAGTATCTGTCGATATAGAGAGAAGAGAGATTTGGTGTTCAAAAAAAAGACCCAAGTCATGCAAAGTAGGTATGCGACTGAAAGAGGGTTGTTGCACGTGTTTCTTGAGGCAATGCGTATAAACACATATGAGAAGAGGCTACAAGATCTAGCAAAAAGGTCTTGAGGATACCATACGGCATGCCACCTTACCGCTTTTCAAAAGACGGATCAATACGGGTCCGAAAGTGAAGAGATAGATGTGACGAGAGTCTATCATCCAATCAACCCAACTCCTCCATATTCACTTTCGCTTCTCTCCAATATAGCCCCAAACAATGTCATTAACCTCGAACCAAATCATCAAGTGGTGGTTTGGTTCAACGGTCAAGTGGCCGACTTTGCTATACAATCTTTGCTATACCCATAACTTGCTACAAAGCTGTTGCTATACCCCACTAACCATAATTCGTCCTCATCATCAATGTAAGTGTGTTATTTCTTTTGCCTTTTTGATACTAGGTATCCACATGCGCTTCTTCATTTTGCCAACCTTTTGTGTTGGAGGTGGAGTGTGAGGTTATTTTTTGACGCGTTGATGATAACCGCTACAGGATAAGCGACGACGTTGAGGTAGTGACTGGTTGGATCCTAAAAGCATTTGCGAGATTAGTGGGTCTGTCTACGGTTCATAGGAAAGTGAATTCGACAATGCAAGTAATTTCAAGCCTTTTACAGGCAGTCTCAACGTTCATGATCTTCCATGTCCCATAGTCAATCGCCATGTCTTTGCATGTACTTATCAATTGAATAATCTTAGAATAAATTTACTTTTGATTTTCCTTCAAGTTCCAGAGATCTGATATTAGATTGCACGTAAAAAGATAGTGTTTACATGGTATCCATGAAGTGAAGAAGAGGTAGCAAAGAACTGGTTGTTAAGAAAACACGCTATATATATAAACATATCTTCTGCATCCTTGACAGGCAGGGTATACATGCATACTACATGATAGAAGAAACAAAAATGGCCCCAAAAATACTGCAGCATAGATTTCGTTGAGCCTTGACCACAAAGTTGATGAAAGTAAGCCATGGGGAGGACATGGAATCAACTTACTTCATTCAGTGGCAAGCAATGATTTCGTTGTACATTGGTAGTCCTATACTATATCTCTCGACTCTTTATTCCGAAAAACTCTAGCGATTTCAAAATAACAATTGATCAGATCGTACTCCAAGCATTGTCAATAGGAAGTGCAACACCGTTGATAGATTTCGCTCCATCGCTTGCGAGGAACAAGATTGCTTCAGCGATTGCTGAAACGGCAACGTTGGGCATTTCGCCAGGCTTCATATGCAAAGCGAGAACTGGTCTATGATGTTGTCAATAAAAATGATAGGGGAATAAATGACCCAGAAAACCCTTACCCCCATACAGCGGCCGCTTCTTGATCAAAGGTTTCTTTGTTCATCGAGCTGGCCATGTTGGTCATTACACCTGTGACATGCGTTAGTGAGTGTTACAAAAGGAGTTTATCTTTGGGAGAAGGTGGCTCTGACCTCCAGGACAAATGGCATTGCATCTAATACCCTCATCCCTAAATCTGAATGCAGTATTTTTGGTCACACCCAGCTATAGCATCATTAGCTTCCACGACTCACGCTTCTTAGCCGGAATATTACGAACCAACCCATGCTTAGAAGCTGTATAAGCAACCCCTGACGCAGCACCACTCAATGCAGCTTTACTACATATATTTATAATGACACCATTCTTCTTAGCTCTCATGAAAGGTAGAACAGCCCTGATTAGTTTCGTAGGAGCCGTGAGATTAATTGCAATGACGCGATCCCAATCTTTATCCGTGACCTTGTCCGCTGAGGCAAAAGAGTCCATCACACCAGCTATATTGGCCAGAACGTCGATGGTTTCGCTAGAAGGTCTTTTAGTGTCTTTGAAAGGAGGTTGGATGTATGTATGTGGTTGATAGTTCAAGCCCACCGAAAAAGAAGAGTACTTACCCAAATCGAGCGACACAGATTCTCACAAGCTCGTCGCACTCTCCATCTTTACTCAAATCCCCTCGATGAAATTGAAACTACTCAGATCCACATGTCAGTATCTGATATTCTCTCCCCTAAAAGTTCCACACCCTCGAAAAAGAGTGTAGCGTCCAAAAGCTTCAATCAATATACACTCACCATCTCCTGGTTCTCCTCATCCAACAGAGTAGGATCCATCTCGCTCACATCGACACCTAATACCTTATACTGATGACTCAAAAACAACCGAGTTGTCTCGAGCCCCATCCCACTTGCGCATCCCGTCACGATGGCTACCTTGTTAGATCCTTGCCCGTCAACCATGTTGCTTAGTTGTAATGTAAATAATTTTGCTTGAAATTGTCGCTGATTGTTTGATTCTAGTTTGTTGAATTTTCGCTTCTTGATTTTCAAATCTGTGAGGTATTTATGTAAAAGTATTGTTGATACTACTGTGGTCTGAACTTTAGTTGGGAGATGTAGAGGTCAGTTTCCGGATACGGATGATTCCTCATCCGAACTGTGAATGCGAATCCGAACTGTGAATACGAATTCGAGCCTCAACACCATTGATTCACGGAGGTTAAAGGAAGTACCGAGATTTAACAGCCGGAGGTTGTTAATAAGCCACCTGAGCTTTATTGGTTCACTATGTGCTCGAGCGGAGCTTCATCCAGATCTCAGGACATCTTGATACTCATGAAACTACCGGTCAATGGGTCGATCGAATGGCCAGACCGTATGAACGTATAGAAACGAACATAAACCCCCTATTTCGATAACCCCACGGAAAAAAGCAGCAAATGATATTCCAATTCACCTCACGATGTTGTGGAGCTCATTTCAGTCTTCGAAGACTTGGCGTACTGGACCATTACTGACTGACTGCATTAAAGAATCGCGGTTCAATCAGATAGGGGGGTAGTTTTATGGAGAATCCTGGGTCTAACTTCATCTTGGTTGTGATAGATATTCGAGGTGTTCTTGTGCAACATAATATGCAGCGAAATTGAGATGGACCGGGCGAGAGACAGATGTGGCCTGGCTGTGGCTGATTATTATGTGGAGAGTTGTGGCTGATTCACGGTTCTGCAACATCATTCATCAAGGTTGTTTGCCCAGATGTGTCTAATAAGCTTGCGATCCATGGATGGGTATGACCAACTATAAATTTCCTAATCCCCTTTATTAATGTTCCCAGCTACATTTTCCCTTAAGCTTTCGACGATTCATCCATCACCTTGATCTTCTCAAACAACCTCAAGAATACTGCAGAGTCTTGGGCACCACCAATCTCATATTTTCCCTGGACAGTGAAATTCGGTACCCCGCTAATCGAATTCCTCCTCGCCTCTTCAACCTCCCTATCAACCTCTGCTCCCCCCTTCTCACTCTCCAACCATTCATTGACTTCCATCTCGTCCAAACCAGCTCGGACTGCGGCATTACGCAATACTTCATGACTAGTGATATCGCCTTCTTCTTCGAAATACGACTTGAATAATGATTCCACTACTTTGGTTTCCATGGCTGGCGACTTTGTCTTTCCCAGTTGAATAAGCCGATGACTAGTTCTTGAAGCTCCTGTCTTTCCTCCAAACTTGAAATCGATACCGACATCTTTTCCAATTTCAGCAAGTCGACCGTTAGCTGCCGTCAGTCTCTCTTCTCCAAGGCGAGCAAGGAGCCATGCTCGTTTATCCACACCTATCCATGATGATTAATCTCAGAACATCTAATTGACAGAAAATGTGTATTCAAGAAAGAGCAATGACTTACCTGTTGTAGGCGCATCTGGAGCAAGGTAAAATGGATGCCATGTGATACTAAATGTATCATTGGAATCGGGATGTCGTTGTTTGTATGCCGTGATTCCTTGCTCGAGTTTTTGCTTTCCAACATAACACCACGGGCAGACGGTGTCGGAAACAATCGAAATATCAAATTTGGTCATTCTGGACAACGTCGCTTTGAACATCAATCAGATTGTACTTGAAGATGATGTGAAAGAAGACGAAAATAGAGAGAACAAACAGAAGAACTACATATACTGCGAAGAAAATCAACACATGATGTACCAAAAAATGCAAGGGTTAGAACGAGGAAGCCGATGATTACTATTCCCGATGATGAGCACGATTAGAAATCAAGAAATCAAACGGCGACCCAGCCAGTTTCCTCGGTATCCCGTTCGTACATGCCGACCGTGAAGTGGTCGATTATGAAGCATGATTCGATGCAATCAATTATTATTAATGTATTAACGTCAATTGATTTATGTGAGAGGGAGATTTGTAAGAATCGCAATGATGCCTACTTAAGTTAGGTAGGTAACAAGTAATAAGCTAGGTATGGAGCAATGGAAGTGTCTGAAAATTTCTGGAGGTTGCAGGTGATGATTAATCATGATCACACGTGTGGCTCGTGGTGGTGGCTTGATAATTATTGAAAACCACGTTTTGTACTACCCACCATAGTCCACACTACCGGTATGCCTACCTAGTAATGGATGTTCTTAACATTCATATCCACCTTCACTCACTTTCCTACAAACCCGGCACAAATCCCTCCACTTTGACATCCCAACCCTCGGGGAAATGCATTCCAGGCTCGCCATCCCAGCCCCCTGCCATCATTGCTAATGCAAGCATCAATCCCCCCGCATTCGGGAAGTACGGAGTCGGCACGCGTGACCCTCCAACGGGATACCCAGCGTCGTCAAACTGAAAGATTGGATGTAAGAGGTACTCTATTGCTTGGTCTATGTCACCTAGACGGAGAGAGTTCATGGCCAGTAAAGCAAAGTCCCAACCATATGAATCCTCTAGATCCCAAAGAGAGTGGATTTTGGAGGCGGTGTTGCCAACTATGGTCATATTGAGGGGAGGGGAGCTAGGGGGTGGGAGCCATCCATATATGCCGGCCATTGCTGGATGCTATCATTGGGGTCAGGATTAGCAATTTGGAGTTTTAGGTGTATAGATCATGTAACTGTAAGATCACTCACATCAGATGTTGTTTCGCTGTCTGTCCACATGTTAGGAATACCCTCGTACACGGGATATGTGTCATTAACGATAGGCAGGGGAGCAAGATTTTCCCGTACGTTCTTCCAATTTTCAGGGATAGACTTCCCCTGACGCTCTTTCCAACTCATAGCTACATCGAGACCAAATCTCCAGTACGCCAGCTCAAAGGTTGGGTTGATTGTCGCATTTGGGTTCGTATTCTCAGAGACGGGATACATTGGTGGACCCAAATCATAGACTCCAGTAGTGGCATTATACCACGCGAACGATGCCATAAAGTCTGCTGTAGCTGTCAATACCTCATTCCACCTTTCAAGTGTCGTTTTATTTGGGAAGGATCGGTATTCGATCTCGGCAAAGTACATCAGATGCGGTTGCTGCCAGATCAAAAGAGAGTTGATGCCCCCAGGAGCGCTGCGGCCGGTTGGGTCGGTCATCTTTCCCCAGCGGGCGCCCTCATATCCTTGAAGTCTGGCCCTGTCGAGCGAAGATTCAAGGAACTGCTCATACATTCCTGGCATGCTTCGCCAAACAAGGTCGAAATGATTCCATCGGGAAAAATGCATAAGATGCCAGAAGACCATCTCAAGCTA